CTGGGTAAATAATGAAATTAAGGCAGAAATAAAGAAGTTCTTTGAAACCAATGAGAACAAAGACACAGTGTACTAGAATCTCTGGGACACAGCTAAAGTAGTGTTAGGAGGGAAATTTATAGCACTAAATGCCTACATCAGAAAGCTTGACAGATCTCAAATTGGCACTCTAACATCACAGTCAAAAGAGCTAGAGAAGCAAGAGCAAACTAATCCAAAAACTAGCAGAAGACAAGAAATAACTAAGATCAGAGCAAAATTGAAGGAGATAGAGACATGAAAAACCCTCCAAAAAATCAATGAATCCAGGAGCTGGTTTTTTGAAAAAATTTAAAAAATAGACCACTAGCTAGACTAATGAAGAAGAAAAGAGAGAGGAATCAAATAGACACAATAAAAATGATAAAGGGGCCATCACCACTGACCCCATGGAAATACAAACTACCATCAGAGAATACTATAAACAGCTCTATGCAAAGAAACTAGAAAATCTAGAAGAAATGGATACATTCCTGGACATATACACCCTCCCAAGACTAAAAACCAGGAAGAAGTAGAATCTTTGAATAAACCAATAACAAGGTCTGAAATCGAGGCAGTAGTTAATAGCCTACTAATCAAAAAAAGCCCAGGACCAGATGAATTCACAGCCAAATTCTACCAGAGGTACAAAGAGGAACTGGTAACATTCATTCTGAAACTATTCCAAATTATTGAAAAGGAGGGATTTCTCCCTAACTTATTTTATGAAGCCAGCATCATCCTGATACCAAAACCGGGAAGAGACACAACAAGAAAAGAAAACTTCAGGCCAATATCCCTGATGAACATTGATGTGAAAATCTGCAATAAAATACTGGCAAACTGAATCCAGCAGCACATCAAAAACTTCTCACCATGATCAAGTTGAATTCATCCCTGGGATGCAAGACTGGTTCAACATACACAAATCAATAAACATAATCCATTACATAAACAGAACCAATGACAAGAACTACATGATTATCTCAATAGATGCAGAAAAGGCCTTTGATAAAATTAAACAACACTTCATGTTAAAACTCTTAATAAACTGGGTATTGATGGAACATATCTCAAAATAATAAGAGTTGATTACGACAAACCCACAACCAATATCATGAAGGGGCAAAAGTTGGAAGCATTCCCTTTGAAAACCAGTACAAGACAAGTATGCTTTTTCTCACCATTCCTATTCAACATCGTATTAGAAGTTCTGGCCAGGACGACCAAGCAAGATAAAGAAATAAAGCATATTCAAATAGGAAGAGAGAAAGTCAAATTGTTTCTGTTTGTAAATTACATGATTCTATATTTAGAAAACCCCATCATCTCAAGCCAAAAACTCCTTAAGCTGATAAGCAATTTCAGCAAAGTCTCAGGATATAAAATCAACGTGCAAAAATTACAAGCATTGTTTACACCAACGATAGAGAGCCAAATCATGAATGAACTCCCATTCACAATTGCTACAAAGGGAACAAAATACCTAGGAATACAGCTAACAAGGGATGTGAAGGAACTCTTCAAGGGAAACTACAAACCACTGCTTAAGGAAATAAGAGAGGACACAAACAAATAGAAAAACATTCCATCCTCAGTGATAGGAAAAGTCAAATCATGAAAATGGCCATACTGCCCAAAGTAATTTATAGATTCAATGCTATTCCTATCAAACTACCATTGACATTCTTCACAGAATTAGAAAAAATTACTTTAAATTTCACATGGAATCAAAGAAAACCCCGTATAGCTGAGACAATCCTATGTAAAAAGAACAAAGCTAGAGACATCACACTACCTGACTTCAAACTATACTACATGGCTACAGTAACCAAAACAGCATGGTACTGGTACCAAAACAGACATGTAAACCTAGGGAACAGAACAGAGACCTCAGAAATAATGCCACACATCTGTAAGCATCTGATCTTCGACAAACCTGACAAAAACTAGCAATGGGGAAAAGATATCCTATTCAGTAAAGGGTGCTGGGAAAACTGGCTAGCCATATGTAGAAAGCTGAAACTGAATCCCTTCCTTACACCTTATACAAAAATTAATGCAAGATGGATTAAAGACTTAAATGTAAAACTCAAACCCATTAAAACCCTAGAAGAAAACCTAGGCAATACCATTCAGAACATAGGCATGGGCAAAGACTTGATGAAAATGCCAAAAGTAATTGCAGTAAAAACCAAAATTGACAAATGGGATCTAATTAAACTAAAGAGCTTCCACACAGCAAGAGAAACTATCATCAGAGTAAACAAGTAACCTACAGAATGGGAGAAATTTTTTGCAATCTACCCATCTGACAAATGCTTAGTATCCAGAACTTACATGGAACTTAACCAAATTTACAAGGGAAAAAAAAAAAATTACGTCAAAAATGTGGGCAAAGTATATGAACAGACACTTCTCAAAAGAAAACATTTACATGGCCAACAAACGTACAAAAAAGCTCAACATCACTGATCATTAGAAAAATGCATATCAAAACCACAATGAGATACCACCTCATGCCAGTCAGAATGGTAATTATTAAAATGTCAAGAAACAATAGGTGCTGGCAAGGCTGTGGAGAAATAGGAACGCCTTTTTAACCATTGTGGAAGACAATAATACAGTATGGTGATTCCTCACGGATCTAGAACCAGAAATACCATTTGACCCAACAATCCCACTACTAGGTTATACCCAAAGGAATATAAATCATTCCGCTCTGAAGACATGAACATGTATGTTTATTGCAGCACTATTTACAATAGCAAAGTCATGGAAACAACTCAAATGCCCATCAATAATGAACTGGATAAAGAAAATGTGGTACATGGATGGGCGTGGTGGCTCTCGCCTATAATCCCAGCACTTTGGGAGGCCAAGGCAGGCACCTTGAGGTCAGGAGTTCGAGACCAGCCTGTCCAACATGGAGAAACCCTGTCTCTATTAAAGATACAAAATTAGCCAGGCTTGGTGGCAGGTGCCTGTAATCCCAGCTACTTGGGAGACTGAGGCAGGAGAATCGCTTGAACCCAGAAGGCAGAGATTGTGGTGAGCGGAGATGGCACCTTTGCACCCCAGCCTGGGCAACAAGAGCGAAACTAAGTCCCCCACCGAAAAAAAAAAAATGAAAAAAGAAAAAAGAAAATGTGGTACATATACACCATGGAATACTATGCAGCCATAAAAAAGAATGAGATCATGTTCTTTGCAGGGACATGGATGAAGCTGGAAGCCATCATCCTCAATGAACTAACACAAGAACAGAAAACCAAACACCGCATGTTCTCACTCAGAAATGAGAGTTGAATAATGAGAGAACACATGGACACAGGGAGGGGAACAACTTACACCAGGGCCTGTTGGGGGGCCGGGGACAAGGGGAGGGAACTTAGATGATGGATCAACAGGTACAGCAAACCACCAAGGCACAACTATGCCTATGTAACAAACCTTCACGTTCTGCACATGTATCCTGAAGCTTAATGTAAAATAAAAAAAAAAAAAACTAAATAAAAATAAAGAATAAGTTACATTTGAAAGTGGACATTTGCTACAGGAATAAACTAAAATTAGGGTCATTTATTAAAAAAGACATTTAAATTCAAATTAAAAACACTTTTCCTCTTAGGAAAAAACATTATTCTATAACTTCAAAGAAGATGTCATCATTTTTTGCATTTCTTTGCTATTTTTCTCCATATGTGAAATTATATCCATATAAATATGTATGTAAACTATTGGCATTTTTTCTATTTTGAAACTAATTTTATTAAATAAAATTGGGAAATTTGGAAAAGCATTAAAAGAAAGAAAGAAAGAAAAGAAAGAAAGAAAGAAAGAAAGAAAGAAAGAAAGAAAGAAAGAAAGAGAGAGACGAAGTCTTCTAAGTTGTCCAGGATGGTCTCAGACTCCTGGGCTCAAGTAATCCTCCTACCTCAGCCTCCTGAGTCGCTGGGACTGCAAACATGTTTAAGCTTTTAAGTGTTAGTCCTCTTCGATTAGTGCATAAACAAGACGAATTGCTTCATCATAAATTGATGTGGATGATCTTCCACTGCAGGCTTCATCTTCAACATCTTGTCCCTTCTTAAAATGAGTTATTTATTTGTAAAATTGCTGATTTCTTTGGGGCATCATCCCCTCAAATTTATGTAAAACATCAATGATTTCACTATTCTTTCACCAAAGCTTCACCATAAACTTGATGTTTCTTCTCACTTCACTTTGAGCACAATCCATATTGCTCTGGTAGAGACTCTTTCAAACTGTTGTCTTAACCTTCTTGGTACCTCAAACTACATCCTACTCAGACATGTTATGACAAGTGAGTACAAGTTTATTTTGGTGCAAAAATGTCTGAAATCAATGCTTAGTTTTGTTACAATATACATTTTTTTCTGGGAACTTTTTGAAGACTCCTCATTTAAGCTCGACTTCCAGGTTCATAATGCAAAGCTAAGTTAGTAGTTTTTATGTTTTTGAGTGAGAATAAAGTAAAACATGCTGAAAACATTGAAAATGATTGATCCTAAAATTTCAGTAACATGTAATCAAGAGCAGACAAATCGTTTTCTTTTTACCATGGTTCAGTTGTCATAAATAGCTTTATGACTTTATTTGCACAAACAAGGTATTAAACAGCAATTGAGTTCTTTTATTTTTGTCCCTTTGAAGAGTCTCTGAAAATATAAATAACTTTAGTAAGTCGTCACACAAACACTGAGAGTTTGTGTGCAGGGAAAAATCCCTCTAAGCCTTCACAGGTGGTAGTGATTCTCACGATGAATTTCTCATCATCCAATGTCTGGCTCTCCGCCTTGCAGGGTTGAAAACTTGACAGTCAGTTCACCAATAGTGAATGTATCTCGAAGGTCAGATTCATATTAACCATGTTCCAAAACTAATACACAATGTCAAAAAAGCCTGTAAACCAGATTCCTGCGAAACTATATATTCAACATATTTTCTTCTTGAAGGTAGAAGTAGACCCTTGTGGGAAGCCAGGTTGTAATGAGGAGTTGCTGTTGAATATGGAATCAAGATTAAGCACACAAAACGACTGAAGTTTTAATGGCATCTAGCAAAAATTACCAGAATACTCAAGGTAAATTGACCACAGCTGCTTACAGTCATGGTCACACAAAAGGAGAAATTCATTCTCTTTTTGTACTAGAATAGGCCCTTTCAAACTTGCCTCTGTGATATTGCTTTTGTTAGCAATCCACAATGATCACAGCCATCTTCATTGACAACTGCCTTTATATTTGTGTGCAGTCAGATTATAATAGAATCTTGTTGATTTAGGGGACATACTACCTCTTGAAAGCGACTTTGCCTATATGTTCCACTCCATTTGGGTATGTAGCTTTAATTTTACAACAAAAACTTACAGTTAAAAAGATAACTTTTTCATAAACTTGGCAGGCCCAGCTTCTCACAGTAGAATTGGTTTCTGGACCCATTTTCCACTTTAAATTACAAAGATCTGGGGATAGAAAGTGAAGACTTTTAGAATGTGTGCTTTCTTTCATTCATCAGTTTACTTATCATATCAATATCTTTCATGTGTTTTTTCTGTTGGTAGTCAACTAAATTTAAGTGAACGCATTACAGTCTCTACTATTTTATTCTAACTTATTACTTGTGTCTCAGAAACGTATATAAACTTAAAGAGCTTCTAAAAAATACACAAAATGTCAGAAAGATCTGATAGACATAGATGCCTTAGAATATTCAAAGGCATTGTAGAGTCATATCTGATGAAATACTTAGTTTTTCATTCAGATGATGAATTCGTTAAAATAATTATTTTTTGGAAAAATTAAACATACATAACTTTATTGTGCAAATAATCAAGTTTTAAATATTATCATATTATTACTTTTACTATATATGTTACTATTATACTATTACATAATAATATATATTATATAATTGCTATATATTATATAATATATTACTGTATAATATATAGTTATATTATAGTAATTATAGTAATATATATATTACTATATATTATACAGAAATATATATTATTACTATATAGCATAAAACTGGTATATATATTGTTTTCCTATATATAGTAAAAGGAATAACATTTTTTATATATATATATAAAACTTTTACTACATATAATAATTTTGCTTATCAGGGCCCCATCCTCAAATATAAAATCAGATGACTTTTTATATACATAAGTATATATATCTCTCAATTATGGGACAACTTCCTTTGACCCCTTTTGGTTAGTAATTACTTCCAGGAAGACTCTAAAAGTCTTTTAAAGAGCAAAGAGAGCAATAATTTTTATGGCAGACCATTGATGAGAGACGTCATACATAGAGTGTTATGATAATAATTTTCTTTTATTTATTTTTTGATGTACTCAATTCGTCTTGTGTGCCTCCTCTGTTCCAGGCTCTGTGGTAGGTGCCAGAACTGCACTGCCCAATGAGGGAGCCTACGACTACAAGCACCTGAGCCATGGTGGTGCAACCAAGGAAACGAATTTTTAGTTTTATTTAATTTTAATTAATTAACATACAAATACTTGAATCATTATAAAATTTTAATATTGATTATTCGTTGAAATGATAATATTTTGGATATATTAATTTAAAATACATTATTAAAATAAATTTCACTTGCTTCTTTTTCCATTTTTAATGTGGCCAATGGGATTTTTGAATGCCTACGGCCCATTGTATTCTACCGGACAGGGCTATTTTAGAGATTTTTGGTGAGTAAAATACACATAGTCTTTGCCATCTTGGAATTTAATCCATGATTTATATTTTTATCAAAGTTCAGATATTGAATACTTGTTTAGACCACTAATTTTGGGAATGGAAATTGAACCAAAAGTGATGAATAGCCAACTAAATAAATTATGAGTCAAAAGTAAAGAGGGTTTAAATATTTCCGTACAAAAAAATTTCTCTGAGAAGCGAAGAGGCCTTAAATGTCTAAATATATGAGATTTTACTCTTTTATGTGGTTCTAGTTCTATTGTATCTTGTTTTATTATGACATATTAGCCATTATTTGGTTCTGAAGAGAAAGCCCATTACTTTATAGGAGATTTCATTTAATTATTATAATAATACTGCAAAATAAGCATGACTTCTAGTTTATGAAAAAGAAAGATAGGCTTAGAGTGATTACTCTTTAAAATGTATACAAAGATGATAACCATAGAGAGTATTCAAACTCATATTTGTCTCATTTCAAATTTCATACTCTGTCTCCTCTACCAAGCATTAGGCCTCTTGAAGTTGAAGAAGAGGCCTTTGCAAAGCTATTTTTGGGAAATAATTCTCTACTCACAGCTGTGGTCTAGGACACTCATGCAACAAATGAAATGATTTTGTCTTTTACTCCAGAAGGGGAATTCACCCTCCTCTGTTCTGGGATTGTTGGTTATTATAACAAATTAGCCCGAGTCATTCAGCCTTCTCACATGGGAATTTTCTTGATTCCTTTTCTCTACTATAAGCTGCATTAAAGACAGTGCCAGGTGCTCTCAGGTTTTTGATACTTTAAGAAATAAATCAATAGAAACAGGTTTCCTAGTTGGATCTGACAGTGTCACTATGAAAGTGCACCTGCACCAAAGGACTGAGCCATGATTCCAGGATTCTTTTAGTGCATAAACAGATGGCTTATTGAGAATGGCCTTCTTAAATCCAGATTAGCAAAACAAAATTTAATTATCTGAGACTAAAATAAGCAATTTAATTACAATTAATTTTCTAATTCTACTTATTTTCAAATAAATGTCTGAAAAAAAAAATCCTTCCATTTTAATCACTAATCCTTAAAGGTGGTACTTGTATAAACAAAAATAAAACCCCTCAGAATTCAGAAAAAAAATATTTTAGAAAAGATCTTAATATAAACTAAAACTAGTAAATCATCAGGGAGACATAACATAATGTTCTGAAAAAGGAAATAAAATTATGTATCTATTGATCTGACAAACTCCTCAAAACAATACTTAAAATATTATGGAAGATGCCATTATTAAGCATTTTTATTTTTTGTGGCTATATTGTTCTTCATGTAGATTCAACCATAATCTATCCTTCCCACTGAGACATAGTTGAATAAATCAGTTGCAAAGTAGGCCATGCCACATATCTTTTGTATTTAAGTCTGACAAACCTTTTGTTAAGGAACAAGTTTTAAATTTCACACGTGGTCAAATATAGCAAAACATCAAATAATAATATTGAATTAGGAATATCACTTAACAAACTTACATGTGCAATAGAGTAGGAGGCTGGACATAAGTCTCAATTACAGCTAAGCAGGGGGGAGCAAACCTTCTTCCATCTGGAGACTCACAGCAATAAACGGTGTCACCCTGCTTTGTTCTCCCCAAAGGAGCTGAGCCACTGAAAAGCTCCTGTCATCCAGCCTGGGCAACAATCACAAAGCACACATCTTAAGGTGTCTTTTCAATTCATTATTGCACTGAAACACTTTTATTAAATATAATGCTTTTCAACTAATTCAGTGAGTTAAAATTATTTTCATGTAGGAGACATTAATTAGAGATGCTATGTCTGGGCTGGGTGTGGTGACTCATGCCTGTAATCCCAGTACTTTGGGAGGCCGAGACAGGCGGATCATGAGGTCAAGAGATCGAGACCATCTTGGCCAACATGGTGAAACCCCGTCTCTACTGAAAATACAAAAATGAGCTGAGCATGGTGGCATGCACCCATAGTCCCAGCTACTCGGGAGGCTAAGGCAGGAGAATCACTTGAACCCGGGAGGTGGAGGTTGCAATGAGCCAAGATTGCACCACTGCACTCCAGCCTGGCAACAGAGCAAGACTGTCAAAAAAAAAAAAAAAAAAAAGGAAACAAAAAAACAACAACAAAAAAGGTACTATGTCTTTAAGCTATTTCATGATTATATGTAGCAAATATAGAAATCTATTTAATTTTTCCAGGTTTTCAGGTGGAAAAATTATATTTCGTATATTTTATAGAGCATGTAACATAATACACTTGGAATGAGCATTTTCATGTAATTTCACAAAGTAAAAAGTTATTTGCCCATTTAGAAGTGTTATTGTAACTCTCTTAACTGGTTAAGATTCTGTATTGCTAATAGTAAGACACCGTAATTCTTCTGTCTAATTTTGGATATTTGTGGTGAGTGAGAAAAGATACAAAAATAACATCAGATCTTGTATTGCTTTCATACAATGTGAACAACAAAATGTAATTATTTTCAGTGACAGAGATGGTTTACTTATTATATTCTCAAAATAATCAAATTAAAAAATATGCCATGTGGAATGTCACATATGTAAAGCAATACAAGTTCCATGTGAATGTTACATTTCTGGAAGGTTTTATTGGAGAACCTGGGAGAAAACTTATGAAAATGGAGCTAGAATACCTACCGAGTAGAACTAAATGAAAACAAAAAAGTACCAGTTTCTACAAATTCACATTTATAAACAATCACGACTCAGAAACCCAAATAAAAAGAAATAATAAACTGCCTAATTCTAACATCACAAACTGTTCTAAAATATCAGTAAAATGTAAATTTTACTAAAAAGGTAAATATAACAAAATAATTTCATTCCAGGTCAATGTTATCACTGCTAACTATCCCAATAATTTGAAAAACAATCGATAAGAGTGGTAATATTGCTTATTTACCGCCAGGAAACATCCTTAGATTGTCCTCTCTTGCATGTGTCTCCGTGTAAATCTGCCCCACTTTATACTCATTCATTCTTTCTGTCTTTTCCTCAGTGATTCAAAGATATTTATAAAGTGGCTAGTATATGCCAGTCACCGTTTTGGGGTGCCAACGTAGAGCTATGAACAAGAAAGAAAAACTCAATACTTTCTTGAAGCGTGTCTTCCAGTGGAGGAATTAACAAATACATAGGATTGTTTTAGTTATAGGTAAACGTTATTTTAAAAATGGGCCATGGCTGGGCGTGGTTGCTCACACCTGTAATCCCAGCACTTTGGGAGGCCAAGGCAGGCAGATCACCTGAAATCAGGAGTTTGAGACCAGCCTGGTCAACATGACGAAACCCCGTCTCTACTGAAAATACAAAAATTAGCCTGGAGTGGTGGCACGTGGCTAAAATCCCAGCTACTCAAGAGGCTGAGGCAGGAGAATCACTTGAACTCAGGAGGAGAGGTTGCAGTGAGCCAAGATTGCACCATTACACTCCACTCCAGACTGGGTGACAGAGCTAGACTCTGTCTCAAAAAAAAAAACAAAATACAAAAAACCTGGGCCACTTGTATCCATTTGCTAGGTCTGCCATAACAGAGTACCACAAATTGAGTGTTTTAAAGAACATATATTTATGCCCTCGACATAACATATATTTATTTTCTCGAGGCTAGAAGTCCTAGATCAAGGTGTCAGGTTGATCTTTGTTGGTTCCTTCTGAGGGCTGTGAAGGGAGAGAATCTGTTCCTTGCCTGTCCTTTAACTTCTGTCAATTTCTCTGTTATCTTATTTTATTTTATTTTTTGGCTGGTAGAAGCATCACCCCAAATATCTACTTCCGTCTTCACATGGCATCCTCTCTGTGTGGGTATCTCTGTGTCCAAATTTTCCCTTGTTGTAAGGACCTAAGTCATGCTGAATTACAGGTTTACCCTAATGCTTTCATTTTCACTTAATTACCTCTGCAAGTAACCTGTTTCAAATAAGGTCACCTTCTGACATACCAGGGTTAGGATTTCAATATATTTCTTTAGAGGACCAAGTTTAACCCATAGCAATCATTGATTACAGACTGACTGGGAGAGGGGGACGCAGGCAGTTTGAGCTGGGTGGCACTGGCCGTGTCTTCAAAAGTGGCAACAGCCAGATGAGAGAAGTAGACTCAGAACTTTTCTTGAAAGGCAAAGCAAGTGCAAAGGATGCAGGCTGGAACAGGCTTGCAGGGTCTTAGGAGCAGACAGGGTGCTGTGGTTGGAGCAGCCATGTAAAGGAGAGGAGTGTGTAAGGAGATCAGAGAAGCAGGCAGGGCTCAGACTATGGGGTTCTTCAAAGGCCACGAGAAAGAATTTGGAGTTACTGTAATTTTAAGAGTCAGCAGCTAGAAGATTTTTAAAGAGGAAGTGATGTGATCTGATATCTATTTTAAAAGCTCAGTGTGGTTGACACCTCTCTTGTCTCTCAGGCAGGGCCATCAAATCTTTTCAGCTCTTTGTAATCTCTCTTTTTCTCAACACCTAGATCATTGATAGTTCTCACTCCATGGACCTGTTAGCAGAAGTGAAGGAATCAAACAGTTAGGTTTCTATGTTCACCCAGAAGCCTCCACTCTTTTCTTTATAAAAGATCTTTCTGTCAAAGCAGTAGGCTAATTGGTTGCTATACTTGGTATCATTTTATTTTATATACATTTAAAAAGCTTAGAGACTAAACTCTTCATATATTTGTGTGTGTGTGTGTGTATTGCTTGTGTGTGTGTGTATGTGTGTTTAACACACAGCTTAATTCATTCTCCTAGGTTTAGGCTGAATGTCACCTCTTCTTTGATGCTTACCTGAATGTTCCCACAGCATTTGTTGCTTTCTTTACAGTGCAAACCTGAATTTTCACACTTTTCATATATTACTGTACCTATTTGTTATCTGGTGTCCTGGATAGTCTGCAAGCTCCTTTAGATCCGGAACTTTGATTTTATTTATTTTTCTTCTATTTGTAACTGCTAGTTGCACAATCTCTGACAATAGAAAGAAACAAATGCATGTGGATGATTAGAATACATCTCTTAGAGCTGTTTTCCAAAAGAACTGCATTTCATACCAACCCGTAAAGTTAAAGGCACTGATAAACAACAAAATTTTACCACAGACTTGTAGTGGTTTTATCAACAATGAAATTTTAACCACAGACTTGTAGTGTTTTCATTGTATCCATCCAAAACTTTCTAGATGAAACATCTTCGTTACAAAAGTAACTTGCTTTTTTTTGAATTTGGTGTTTGTCATTTGCACAAACTGGAACCTTTGAATTCTCTTCAGTGGGTATCTCTGATTCCTGCTTCTCAGAATAACTTTCATTAAAGATCTTCCTTCCCTTCAGTTCCCAATGGAGGGCGTGAGATGTATCCATTATTAAATTATTTATTTAAAACTTTTCAGACCTTCTGTTTATTATGCATATGAAACTTCAAGTTTTGATTATAAACTTGTAAACCTGTGACATTTGCAAATCTTGACACCTGCTTTAAGAAGGAGGAGATGGAATTGTGCTAAGTGCTTGTGCTATGATTATTTTGCTCTCTTGGGTATTTAGACACGAATGAGACTGGCTTTCTGGAAGCATAAATTCTATTGATGCTACTTATGCCCTGTGAACTGCATGGACTTTACGTAGTTTGCAACTTGTGTGTCCCAGACCTTAATAGTCCCTTTTCTGTCCACAGAGCTGCATTTGTTGTAAAAAATACAATAGCTTGTTAGTAACAACGTAAACAAAGATAAAGATTACTTCATCCCAAATTCATTGAATTTCTGCAATGTACTAAGCATAAGGAAGGCAGGAATAAATACAGGAATACTAGGGTGACCAGTTCATCCAGGTTTGCCCAGTACTGTCCCAGTTCTGGTACTGAAAATCCTGTACCCCGAGGAACCCCTCAGTCGCAGTCTAACTGGTCATCCTAAGTCTTAACAATTTAAATTTAATGATAAAAATCAGCCTTTTAATCCTATAAAAATTCCTTTTCCTTCCCAGCTTTTTCTCCAAAACATATAGTGTATAAAAGAAAACCAAATAAAATGTTCCTAAAGTGTATATAAAGAAAATAAGAATAAGGGATATTTAGATGACGTCTGTTTGGTTAAAGAAATGCTGTGATGTTCCATACCTTTTCTTGAAGACTATCACCTAGTCTGTTAGAAGACCATTGACTCATTGGTGCTTGAGTGGAAATAAGAGGAAAACTGCTGTCAAGGTAAAGAGGCAAAAAATACAGGACAGTCCTGGGTACTACATGACAGCCTTTACTTTAAGTGCCCCTTCTCCGTGAGTTTTGAAGAACATCAAGTGTTCTTTCAAAAGGGCATAAAACATTTAGAACCCAGTTCCATCTCTATACACCTGTGTGACCTTTACCAAGGTTCTGTTTTTCTCTCCGAATCCTACTTTCTGAACTATTAAAGGGAGGGGTTTGAATACTTACACATTTGTAGTGAGGTTTAAATAGTATAGCATTTCCAAAAGTATCTGCATTTAGACCAAAATAGGTACTCCAGAAAAGTTAAATATTAAAATCTTACATATTAGCATGGGGCTCAACCCAAGTGCTACCTTCTCTTTGGCCTTTCCTAACACCCTGGCAAAGTGAACATCCCTTCATTTCCCCTTGTCCCTGTCCATAATCTATCCTGGTAATTCCAGGACTTTATTATACTGATTTAATTAGTAGACTCGTTTATTTCCATTTCTGCTGCAAGATTCTTGAGAATAGTTGCCAATAATCTATACTTCTGGTACTTCACATGGTGACAGGCACATAGTAGAGATTTAACACATTTTGAGACATTTATAATGGATGAAGACATGGAGAGAATGGTGATGGTAGAGAGACCACTCAGATAAGAAATTCAGATCATATTCTGAATACTTGAGAAAATAATACAAAATTGAACAATGCATCACTTTTTAACAAAACTTGCTTGTCTTTACGCAGGATACACATCCATTCATGCGGCCTTTCTACTTCAGTGGCCACCCATTGGATACAAGATAAAGTCCATAGTCTTCACCATTTGAGTCATTCCCCAAAGAGTCCATGCCTTGTCATTCATTTCACAATGCCTCTTTAATTGGTGATTCTTCTATATGAAACATCTTGCTTTCACCATTTCCAAACTACCAGCTTCCATTCCTGCTCCACCTAATCAAATCTTGGCAATCCTTCGAAACCCAGTTTCAATATCATCATCTCCTTAAAGCTTTGCTGACCTACCCCAACCCTATCTCTCAAGGCCTAATTAAATATATTTTTTGTGACCCATACTATCTCATGCAAAATTTTTCCATTTCCTGTATCTCCCTATCTTACTGTTTTACCTTGAATGTGAAAGCTTATCCATGAGGGATGTTGACTCATTTCTTTTTATTCATTCCTTAGCCAGAGCCTGTTATGTAACATGTACAGAAATGGTCTTTGAATGAATACCTTTGCAACTGGAATTGGTACTAATAATGTTCCTTCTACTCCATTTCAAACAAGCCACACTTCACCCAGGTTATGCAGAGTGAATTGTTTTACTACAGCTACACTTATTTCTAGCGTGCTATTGCAAGCTTATGCAACATAGTTTATTGATGATAGGTTTAGAGTTTATTTGCTAGCAATACACTAGGGTTGTATTGATTTTGCCCATCCTTTTCACTAGATGTCAACTGGTGTCCTGTTTTGATTCAAGATTCCATGTGGTTAGCTCTCATACTGGGTTCAAGTACACTGCCTGATTGAACCATCCTCTTCTAACTCAGAAATGGGAACATGAGTAAAAACCAGGTGAGTTCTCCACTTTGCTTCCACTTAAGTTTAAGTCATACCTTCTTCAACTAAGGTGAAACTTCCTGCCTGTGAATTATGTGTGTTTCTATTTTATACAGTGTAATCATCTATATAGACCTAAGTAAAGAGAAAATTGGACTCAGAGTCAGAGGCCTGTGGTTGAGTCATGCTTTGTCAGAAAGAAAGATAAAAATTTCCACCTCAGAGTGTTGTTAAAGGAATTAAACAATAATACAGAATAAACAGAATATGTACTTTCTCCATTTCTGGGAATACATCTGATAGACGTGGTCTCTAAAGAAGTATTTTTTTTTTCCTAGTTAAACACCAAGACCTTCTTTTAGACAGAAAATATGTATTTTTGAGCACACAAAACTGAGCTTGTTTCTTATGGTTTTAAAATATTCTGTTCTCTCTGTTTGCCATTTGCCTGTGAAGTGGTTATAAGAAAACACCCATCTCTTTTGGTCTGGTTACATTAAGGCATATGTGTTCATTCTGTAATATCTCAGAGCCAATGATGACTCTACTCATACTGCGGCAGATAGTCAAGCAACATGTGGTTAGCTAGATAAGTAACCAAATTTGAGATTGTCTGGTTCTAAAACAATTTTTTTTCCTGTTAGAGCAAAATTACAGGACATAAAACGTCTGGGAGATAAATGAAATAATATGAGCCTCGCATTCAGGGGTCCCAATGTTACAACTATACAGCAACAATAGAATGCAGAGATAAATACAAGGCAGACTTTCCAAGATTAGGAAAACAGAATAAGGCAGTGAACAGAAATCTGAAATATTATTAACATTCTATGACTGTAATCAACCAGAAGAAACAAATGATGTGAGCAATAACAATAACAATGATAATAACAGAAATCAGTGGGTGATTATCCATCAAATGAAAAATGTAAGAAGGATTTTTTGTTTTTACTGGTATGAGTAAAGGGTTATCATCATTGGACCCTGAACAATCCTAGACTTGCTACGGAAGTTGATCTAGGATCTACCTGTCCTGGCACCATTTCTATGGACATGACAGAGTTCAGATGGATGAAAAATAATGTATTCCAGGAGCTAACGGTTTCTCTTTTTAACTGTGCAACACCTGATCTATTGGACTGTACGTGTAGACCTAGAATTATGGTGTGTAAGTCAACTTAGGAGTCAAAAAGCTCTCCTAAGTTACTTACACATCTTAATTCTATGTAACTGGAAAAAACATTAAAGATGGGTAAGAAACCAAGCAGTAGCTTCTCCATGTCAAAGTGAGCTGCGCATACCCAGGTCTCATCCCTGACAGGTATATACTTTCTGTAGGTAAATTGAGTAAGGTTGATGGGATGAGAAGTTGTACATAGGTAGCTGCTGGACCTCCCACAGAGAAACAAAATGTCCAATTGCTGGGCCTGTAGTCTTCTATAAAGCTAAGTCAGTGCAGTGCTAAATTAAAAGCCTATTGTGTTGTTGCTAGCATGAACCAGATGGTGTTTTGGTGAGGGTTTACAAAGGGTGTGAGTTTAGAGACCTTGAGAAGCAGATGGAAGCATTTCATATAGGCACAAAAGTACAAATTTTGTATTATAAGATGATGAAGGTAGAGATGCACGAGCACACTGGGGAAAGAGTTTGGTTGGGGCTGGGTGCGGTGGCTCAGTCCTGTAATCCCAGCACTTTGGGAAGCTGAGGCAGGCGGGTCACCTGAGGTTGGGAGTTCAAGACCAGCCTGACCAACATGGAGAAACCCTGTCTCTACTAAAAATACAAAATTAGCCAGGCGTGGTGGTGGGTGCCTGTAATCCCAGCTACTCGGGAGGCTGAGGCAGGAGAATCGCTTGAACCCAGGAGGCAGAGGTTACAGTGAGCCAAGATGGTGCCATTGCACTCCAGCCTGGGCAACAAGAGTGAGCCGCAATCTCAAAAAAAAAAAAAAAAAAAAAAAAAAAAGAGTTTGGTTGGAGTGGGACGGCTCTCAAATTGTATTGCAGCTATCTGAATGAGAAAATGTGTACAGGAGGGGGGAGAAGCTCAAGGGGTGGGGTAGGGATGGAGTGTGGAGGAGACTGTAGAAAGAGGGATCAGCATTGAAAGAGACAGTGGTCTGAAGACAAAAGATTTTGAACAGTAATATGGGAAAATCACTTGTGTTTCAATGGCAAAGCCATTTATTAGAAAATTTGGGTACCTGCATTCTGAGGTTACTAAGTGAGAATTTTATTTCTGGTTATCTCTGATATTGTGGGCAAATAATAACGTTCTTTTGTTCCTATGGTTTCCAAATTTTAACTTGATAGATGATTCTTCATCTTCTCAGGTGTGGATAAGCAATAGAGAACTTGATGAAGCTTATTATCTTTGTTCTTTAATACAGAAATGACAATTGTATGTAAGACTATGTTTTCTTTGAAAGTATTTCTTTTGTCCTTGAATATCTATAATTTCTAATTTTCTTAATTACCTCTAAAGGTTTGAAGGGAAAATGAGGGTTCTAACAGTCTAAAAAATAACTGAAAGTAAAGGAAATCCTGTGTTATGAGTGGGGTTTATCCCAGTGTTTATCAAACACATGCTTATAAATCATTAGAGGCTGCAGCTCTGAGTTTACATCTTTGATGATGAATATATGTGCTGTGCATCTTGCTAACACTGCTCTAACTTTTGGATTCATTCCCGAAAATCTTTTGGGCCACAGAGACATCAAACAGAAGCAAGACTTTAGCCCATCATCTGTAATTAATTAGCTGTCTTGTGGAGGAAGTTCTTTCAATTCTCTGGGATCCTTTTTTGTTCATCTGAAAAATAGGTATACGTATTAGTGAAGCAATGGCTGTGAAATTCCAAACTGCCTTGGCAAAGATAATGCATTATATAGATACACTGTCTTTCAAACAATAGTTATCAATTTTCATCTTAAAACAAAATTAATCCCATACTTTAAATGAGTTACCTATACACATATGCACATATACATACACACAGAGAAATATATTATTTTGACTAGTTTGGTGCTTTTTAATATCAGATATACTAATTGGTTGATTTTCCCCCATTATCTTCATAGATTGTACAGTTTAAAACATCAGCTTTGTTCTGCTTTCCTGAATATGAATTGGAGGCTTTTCTCTAGGGAAAATGATTTAACCATAGATATTCAGAATAAATATTTTCAGTGTGAGGAATGAGTCTCGCATAGTAACCTGCAGATAGAAGTGGAGCTGATATTTGTGATGCGTTGATGTCTTTCATTGTAACAACGGTTAACAATCTAATAAAACATTTAATAGGGCATAATGAGTGATGGTGTGACTTGTTTAAGACGTCATGGAATTTACATCAATCTAAATTATAATTTTTTACTAATATTGAAAGTGCATGTTAGTATAATGATTTTATTCTATACTGTGTTCATATTTGGATGGAGAAAATGCTTCCTTGTGGGACTTGTCAGTTGAAGCAAATACTTACTTGTCTTGTCCCTAAAATAAGAGGTATAAGATACCTTCCCAATCTCTGAATACGCAGTGTTGCAGTCCTTTTTGGGTTTTCTCATTATCCCTACAGTTGAGGACTTGTGGCCACCTGCTGTGGAATAGGAAGCTAGAGAAGGAGTAAAAAGTAACCATGTGTAACTTCTGGTAGATCAGTTAGATACATTATTTAGCTGCTTTAAAGACAGGGAGAACTGTGTTAATTGGATGGAATTTTGTGACAGCCACATGGTAGGACAGGTGACTCACATTTCTTTGCCCAAAGCAAAGGAGTTACAAAGGCTGAACCATCAGATATTATTTTACTATCTCTTTGTATTTGTGTATGAAAGGAGGGACAGGATATTGCTTGTCTTCCATTAAAGAATAAGTTTAGAAACTAGAAACAGAGTCTTAAATAAAGATTTAGTCATTTATTCATTGCCATCTAAGAGGGTTAGACATAATCTCATTCAGGGTCAGGGGATTTTTGAGTCAGAAAATGAAAAAAAAAAAACCTAATTTATATTCAAGTTTTAATTATTTTGCTTGTTAGGTAACATAACTCTGGATTTTGTTTTCTTGTATTTTGGGAAAGAGATTTGAAGAGAGAATAAATTATTTCATTTGGCTGTTCCTCAGCAGACAATTCTGCAGGTAGTTTAGCACTTTTTCCCTTCAACATTTGTTCTGTTTGGGGTGAGGAGGCTTAAAAATATTTCTTGTAGTCATATGGAGAGTAGGTGTGAAGCAATTTTCACGCTATTAACACATTTCTTGACAGAATCTCACATTGGTCAAGAAATGGTAACAATTTTCAGGGAACTGAGAAGTGCATAACCTGGAGGTGATGCATGTTCTAGAGACGATTCAGGAAACGCTCAAGAGTTATATAATATTCTCTTTAAATAACTTGGATTGTCGTCAAAGAGTTTGACTGAATAGAATAACTAGAAGTATGTATTTCTATGTCAATTTATGTTCAGTTTTTAAAAATATTTCCCATTATGGATCAATGCAAATGTTATGAGTCTGAACTGACAGAATAAGTTTTTCAAAGACAGAATTTGGTAAAAAGGTTAATTCTGATGTAATGGGTATCTTTAACATAAAATAGTGAAATGCAATGTCTCATTCAGAAAATGTAGATGGCTGTGAGACTGTGGCCTCAAAAGACACAGGATGAAAATACTATTTCCACCCAACAGGATATTCCGTTGCTTTTATTTTTTTAAAATCTATCCTTCCTTTTTCATGAGCTCTCAAATATTTATCTGGGAATAACAGGAGGCAACTTTTGCAGATATATAAGATATCTTTTCTCATTATCAAATCCCATAAATAGCTTGAAATAAAAGCTTACCCAGAGAGTTTTGCAGCACGTTTTTCTTTGGCACCATCTTTGGTAAAAACATAAAACCGCCTCAGATTGGTAATTCTGCACATACAATGGCTGCAGACTGGTAAAGATAGATGTGGGAAAAGTAAACCATTTATCAAAGGGCTGTTTAGTTATTTTTCCTC